CCCCCAGAATGAGCTGGAACATGTTGCCGGTGAGAGGGAGGTCTGGGTCGGCCTGTTTGACCTGCTGCCACCGCGACGCGACCCCGGATAAGCGGTGGAAAATGGATGGATGGATGGATAATGAAATATAAGCTAACATTAGCATTTCAACAAATGCACAACAAACATTTTAAACAAGGATCCCTTCAATGTGATTATTTCAGAGCTGTGGCTGAGCGATGTATGAAGAGCACATTTTAAAGTGTAAAACTAAACTTGAGCTCTAATCAGTTTATGAAATATGATGGATTGTTGAAGAAATTCAAAAAATAGTTACAACTTTACAAATCTAAATGATGTTCACACTTTATATCAGCAATAACAAAACATATCTAATAATATAAAGTCACACTGTGAAAGGGACTGCATGAGTTCTGCACAATAGATTAGAGCTGAAACAATCAATTAGTCGATACAATAGTCTGCAATTATGTAAACAATGGATTCATCGCTTAAGTCATTGTTTCTCGTAAAAAACGTGAATTGGTTGCAGCTTCTCAACTGTAAGCGTTACTACTTTCTCTTTGTTTAACATTTTAAACTAAATAAAAAAACGAGACATTTGAAAAAGTTGACTTGGCTTTTGTGAATTGTAACATTGGCATTTGAAAGACAAAACGAATAATCAAAAAAACAGGAAAATAATCTGCAGACTATCAGCTTCAGCCCTTTACAGCCCTAATGAACACACCAGTACACTTTGCTGATAGCATTGTATGTCAGCTGGTTTGGGGCCAGAATAGTTCATACTGGTGATACGTTTAACAGGTCTCTCCAAATGAAAAGGAAAACTAGCCGTTTCCTGCCTTCTGGTTCTGTCTCTGTCTAAGCTGAGTCTCTAAAGGTCAAGCTGTTGGGATTTTTGATGCTCTGCTGCATCTGCATTCTTTGGAGTCTTGTAGTCTGTGTGGATGCAGCACCCACACATACAATGGAGCTAAGTGGAATGTGTATTCCAGGGTGGAGGTGGAGAGTACTCACTGTCTACTTAATTACACAGTGGCATACTGATGTCATGCTTATACACAGAGTTCAGCTGCTAACGGTCAATATTCCTTTATCCAAAAGTGCCAACCAGTGGATGCCTGCATTACTTTCCTCTGGTAACCAGAAAGAAGAGTCCTATGCTGCATTGCAAAGCGAAAATGCTTAAAATGAGTACTCTACTGATTCAGCATTTAACTACAACATTGTGCAGGTATTATGTAATTTCAATATCAATATCTACTGAAGAGGATTAGGGCCCCGATTCAAAAATGTATTTCAGTTCAGAGTTTAAAGTGGATGAAATGAAGTGAAAGTTAGAATTCTGACTTAAAACTGACTTTTTTCATTTCCCCATGTGGTCCCATTCCTTTAAATATCAATAGTACACAACAGAAAACACTTCACTTATTACCAATCTGATTGATTGATTAATTTAATGTTCCAGAGGATTTGAAACAACGTTTGGACTCTCAACTTTGGTAAAGAAACTAAAATGACCCGTTGGTTTCTCCGGTAGAAACACAGGTAACGTTCTTGAGTTTCTAAAGAGGTCTGTGGTTTACTGGACGAGGTTCTGCAGTAGAAAAAAGGTTTCGGAATATGAACAGTAAAGTGGTAACTTAATGTTGATTATGATTGCTACAAATCCTTATTCCAATATTCAAAAAGTTATTGTGGACATTACTGCTTTCAATTTAAGCTTTTGTCAAATCTGCTTTGTCAGTTTTGTCAGCAACACAAGGCAGTACGAAGGACTTCCTGTTAGACAGACGGTACTACCGTTTAGTCAAAAGGTATTCTTAAATGGTTTAGTCATGGCAAAGTGAGACTCAGTAGCAGCGTATCAAACATACAGGATCCCTGGAAGAAAACAACACGATGGTTTCTGAATCTGTTTCTACAACTGGATGGTGCTCTCACCTTCACCCATATTGATGGCTCTTTTGATCACCTCCTTGAAGAGACCAGGTTCTTTATCCCAACCACCAGCCTGAACCTCGCAACGATGGGCCTTAGATAGGAACTGGATAGCCTGAAAAGAACCACACCATAACACCAGCATCGTATTAGGTGGCTACACAGAAGTCAAATACAGTCATGTCTGTTTATTTAGATTTTTGCTCGGCTGATTACATTGCAGGCAGCATGTGAAACAATTTTGCTAAAATGAATTCAATCATTGCAGGTCAAAACATTTCAAATATCATCATTAGCACCAACCTTTTCGTTGTCATCCGGGTTGGCGCTGTGCCCGTCTCCGTACAGCAGAGCGTACTGCTGCCATATCTCACAGTCACTACTGTGGCGGGAACTGACCCGCCCCAGGAGCCCCTTCAGTTTGGATCGGAGAGTCTCTGCCTGCACACCCTGCCTGTCCGTCAGGTTTTCAACAACTGCTCTAACCAGGATCTGTATAATCTGCCAGGAAAAAAAAACAAAAAAAAACAAAAACACAGGTTTGTGTTCAAAGATAAATCACAAGTCATGAAGTTTCAGGGTTTGAATTCCGCATGGAGTCCTTTAACTACTGATAATTAAAAGCACAGTGCTCAGGACTGCCAAAGAAACCAATGAAGGAGCAGCAGGATGGAAAGCAACTATGTTTATGGGAAATGTGGTTGAAATTTTCCCAAACAATTGCACTCATGATGCCATTGGCATGAGACTGCATATAATCACTGCCGTGGTCTCCAATGTTTATCGTAATCATGCCACAGTTATCTAGTAATGATACACAAAAACTCACACTGCTCTCTATAAATTGAGTTTTAATGTTTCTGGTTACAATCATTGAGGTCAAGTCAGGTGTTTTAAATCAGCTATGAAATATGAAACACCATTCATTTCAAAAACATTATTTTGTATGGAACTCATTATTATGATACAAAGCAACGTTATATGTAACAATTTCCAATAAAACAATGTATAGGTCATATACACAGCGACAGCACGTACCGCTGTGAAACAATGAGGTTTTATTCTTCAGATTCACAGCTTTGTTCTCACTAACCTACGTTCCCGCGTTCATTCACTCTCTAGACCTCCGCTATGCTCTCTCCCTCTCTCACTTGCTCGCCTGTTGAGCTGGAGAGGAACAGCAACCAACAATGTGACTACATATCATGCCTTCAATGGTGAAGACGAGACTAAAACTGAATAAAAAGTACTCATTGAAAATCAGAACTAAAAAGAAATGCATTACACTTTTCATCACAAAATCAAAACTCAACGACAATGTGACAGATGGTCAAATTAACTTATTACTTGGTCCTCCGTGCTGCTTTGGAAGAAACAGATTAATGGACTAAAAACAATCCACTGAGTATTAGATAAGAAGTAGCAACAGAAAAGCTGTGACCAACTAGGAAAACATGCAGGCAGCACGCTGATTTACAAAAAGGTAGGGTAACGTTACCTCATCAAGTGCTGCTGAATTCCAGGATCAATGTCGTTGGTTTACCAACTAGTTTCTCCTCTCAAGCTAAACCCAGACAGTGAGCGGTATATTAGTGAACTGAGTCCAGCTTCTGAATGATTCGCTGATCTGCAGTGGAGTAAACAGGTGGCTGCATTTGTGCTAATGCTAGGTGAGCAGGAGCAACAGAGAGGGAGCGGCTCTGAGGAGGCAGACTCATCCCTATCCCTGGCAGAGGTCGCTGAGGTAGTCAAAAAGCTCCTCAGCGGCAAGGCGGTGAATGAGATTCGCCCTGAGATGCAGAAGAATATGGACATTGTTGGGCTGTCTTGGCTTCGGTGTTGCGTGAAAGTGGGGGACAGTGCCTGTGGAGTGGTAGACCTGAGTGGTGGTCCCCATTTTAAAAGGGGGGACTAGAGGTTGTGTTTCAATGGTGCTGGAAAGGAGGCTCCAACCGCCTGTCTCACCTCAGATCCAGGAGGAGCAATGCAGATTCCATCCTGGTCGTGGAACAGTAGACCACCTCTTTACCCTTGCAGGTCTGTTGGAGCGGTCATGGGAGTTTTACCCATCCAGTCTACATGCGTTTTGTGGACTTGGAGACGGCTTAAGACGGTGTCCCCCGAGGAGTACTGCAAGAATATGGGACACCAGGGTCGTTGCTACGAGCCATACAGTTCTTGTATGACCTAAGTGAGACTCTGCACAAAGTCAGACAAGTTTCCAGTGGGTGTTGGCCTGCGCCAGGGTTGTCCCTTGTCACCGGTTCCGTTTGTGATTGGACAGAATCTTAAGGTGCAGCCGGGGAGAGAATTGCATCTTGGCTCTTTGCAGATAATGTGGTTCGATAAGCACGCGACCTTCAGCACACACTGGGACGGTGCGAAGCGGTCCAGATGAGAGTCTATGGTTCTCTGCCGGTGGATTACGATCTTCGGGTTGGGACTGATTTATTGCTCCCAAGCTAGGGAGTTCAAGTATCTTGTGGTCTTGTTCATGAGTGAGGGTAAAATGGAGCACCGGATGGACAGGCTTGGTTCGGTGCAGCGTCAATAGTGATGCGGGTATAGTACCACACTGCAGACTGAGTTGGGGAGATTTACCAGTCCATCTACTTTCAGAACCTCACTGGGTAGTGACCAAAAGAATGAGATTGTCACTGCAATGACAATTAAGGTAGATCAACTGAAAGGCACACTAACTCTGTAACATCATGTTAGACATCATACAAGAGGATGTGGAAGATACAAATGTATCTTCCACATCTTCTCACACCTGAACACAAAGGCTACCAGAAACAGGCCCCTGAAAGACCTTGAGGTTGTCTATATTTTCTCTGACATTAGGGTGAATGGATGACTTATTGAGGTTCCTGCTGGATCCAGTTAAAGTGGGAAAGTAATAATCTCTCTGTTGAGAAAAAAGACAAATAACGGGCTCAAATTTTGAAGTTGACTTTTTGATGGAACAACGGAAAAGAGGAAAACCTCTACTATTTTCTCTCAAGGGATCTTGTGTATAGTGCCTGTGTGTGACTACGGTTCTTGTGTATCCTATTTAACCCCATGAGGCATAAAGCTGAGCCATGTGACCCTCGGCTCCTTTGAAATCTATCAGCTAGTCAAAGCCCTTCTGTCACCCTCTACAGATTCCATAGAGAGGAATTCATGGTGGTCCCTGTCATTATCTCCCCTTCATGACTGATCCGACTCTCGTGCTCTGGGACCTGGGCTAAAAACAACCACAAGGAGGAAAAATGAAATATAATAAGGCTTTGTTCAAATGGGACTGAGATCTGATTATGTAGTGATAGGAGTGTCGCCACTATTTATGCAAAACACAATTGAAAGGAGTGAGATGGATGTTAGTTAAAATAGAACGGTAAAAATGGAATAGTCAGTTGAAGTGATGAGACTACTCTTATGTAACACTTTGACAGGTTTGTTTCACTGAGAAAGGAAAGTGAGAGGGGGCAGTGGTGGATCTAATTAAAGCTGCACTACAGACAAAAAAACATCAACATGAAATAAATATACATTATGCTTTGGTACACAACATCAAACATGGTTCGCACAATTGCAACGCAGTGTTCTTGGGTACAGAAAGACATTTAAAAACAGTTATGTCATCGGACCGTCAATGTTCACATGAAAATGATTATTGTGTCTCTCATGAGTGCGTCGTTTGCTCAGATCAACACCTTCTTACTGTGGAGAGTAACCAGCTGCTACACCTTCAAGACCTGGCATATCAGAAGTGGCAGAAAGAAGTTCCTCTCTGCGTCTTTGTGAAATAGGTTGTGCTAAAAGCTTGCTGATGTGGGACTGCTGGGAGGTGAACTACTCCAGAGTGTTCTAAAAGCAACCATATGTACTCCCAGCATTCTCTTTTAACCTTTAAGGTTGTGAGTTTGTGTTGTAAAAGGAAATTTAGAGAATGAGGAGGAAAACAGGTCCAGAGCCAAATTCCATTTACTAAGTGATCTACTTAGAACCATATCATGGAGGCTGCTGCTGCTGAGCTTTTCAACTTTTACATCTTGCAGCCTAATTGATGCGACTGATGGTGGCACAACCAGCATAAATGAACATGCTGAGTGAGAAGTTGTCTAAACATAGATACACCAAAAGGAAGAAACTTCGAAGTAGTTTGGGTCTTAGTTGAACACAGGATGTAATTTCCGAGTCACAGCTGTGATTTCAACCAGTCCCACTGAGCTGAAAGATGATTCCTTTAAATTCAACTGCCCAAAGCTACAAGACTAAAATGAATACAGGGCTGCAGCAGAGAATTAATAACGCCACCTCTGGCTGTGTTGGTTTGTTTATTCAAGGCCGATGGTTCATATTCTACTTAGAATGTGTTGGTTGGTGTGCAATTACTGAGGTGTGCTTTAGCGAGGCTTTTCCTTTAGCTGTTGGAAATGACTCGGCATGTGGCCACGATGAAAAAGATTATGATGCACTACAGGAAAGGAAAAACAATTAGTTTGTCTTTGGGCTGGATTTGACATGCTGGGTGTAAGAATATGTGTACAAAATGAGCTCTGTGTTGAGACAAACTTTGTCATGAATGCCTCACTCACTCACACACAAACACTATTTTTGAACTTTTGTTATTACAATAACAACTAAGTAACACCAAAGTGTGAATTGTCATTTTCAGGAAAATTTGAATTATCCTTTTGGCCTTGTGAAACTGATGTTAGTCGCGTTATAGATTTGATGCAGAGCAGAAAAGGTGCACATACCAGTGTGTGTCTTATATTGACGCTGCATGAAATGCTCATCACAACCATCACTCAAGAAAGATTATTTTCTTCAACCAAAGCTTTCCTCACAAAGCTCAAAGACACTCGAAAAAGCATAGTCACCAGTGTTTTGCTTCCAGAGACATGAAGCAGATAATGGCAGAAAGACTTCAGTCATGAGTGTGTAGCAAGACTTATTGTTGACACTCTTATAACTTAATCAACTTATTATATGATATTTTCCATCCTTTAAAAAAAAAAAAAAAATGTATTTCCTTAAGAACATAATAATCTACCCAGTTTCATTCTTTTCAAAATCAAATAAAATCTAAAGCTTTATATACAAAAGTGATTACAAATGACTGTCATCTGCAATGTAGTAGGGCACAAGTTAAAACACTTCTCACACAGTGAATTTACGGAAGCAAGTACAGTATACAGAATGCTGTCACTGTAGAGCCCAGCTGCACTATTTGAATCTGTGAAGGGTGTAGGAGCCAAATGTTCAATTCATTTTCTCTCCAGCAAGTGATTTAACTTGCCCATGTAAAAACAACTTCAGTCTCATTATAGAGAGTCTTGTGGGCAGTAGAAAACATTCCCCAGTTCATTTCATTTGACTTTTACCATCTCAGCATTGATTTTGTAAATCTTGACATGTACGTTTCAGCTCCTTTCACTTTGATAACGAACCTCCACTCCTGTGAGGCACTCCTGGTACTGGTGTCAAGAACAATGATTCACTATGACAGCTGTATGATGCATGAATTCCTTCCATTATATTGTGTCAGAGAGAGAAGTATGATGTCGCCCAGGACGACATTAAGTGCAGTCCTTTACCTGGATGTCCTTGTAGTTTTCCCTGAGGTCCATCAGGCGATGGTAGGCCTTTATGGCTTCAGCAAACTCCCCGATGTCAGTGCTTACAACAAGAAAGTTCTCCCAGATCTGCCATTGTTCGTAGTTACACTTCAGTGCTTCCCGCAGCGTACAAAAGGCTTTGTCTCTGCCAAGAAAAGAGACAGACAGGAAATGACAGAGCAAAAGAAGAGACGAGTTAGCAGTGAATAAACTGACAAAACCATGAATATGCCAAATACACTACCATCAGTTATAGTAGTATTCATTTTTAAACATCTGGTGAGCAAACGGTTCATTAAGAAGATATACACCAACACGAACACACACACACACACACACACACACACACACACACATACGGTAAAAGAGCTCTCCCCTGAGACCCGTTTGCCTTGGGAGACCCTACCAGGAGCTACTGCCCCGGACAACACAGCTCCCAGGATCACTGAGCCACTCAAACTCCTCCACCACGGTAAGGTGGCGATTCACGGAGGAACAAGTTGTTATAACGCTCTGTTGTGTTTAGGTCCTTTGGGCCAGTAGATAACTCTTGACTAAAAATATGTATGCAAGTTTTAAAGTTAGGGATATTTCCTGATTGATTGTGGGTATGTTACACACACAACATTCATACTCATACTCACTTCTTTTGGAGGCGAATGTGGGCTGTAGAGAGGTTGTTCCATGCTTCTGCATTCTGAAAAGTGGAGGGGGGGTAAAGAAGGAAAAAAAAGGGAACGAGATAGTAAGGAGTGTTGGAGACAATAATACAAATAATAATACAAAAATTATAATAATAATAACAATAATAGAGCATATAGAGGAATAGTAGAGACAAATCTGTTTTAAGTATCCACTCATTTATGCACAGAGGCTGTGAAAGAGTGGTGTAGCTGATTCTGCTGCGTGGTGTGCGTTTAATATACATGTGTGTGTGTGTGTTCTAGACAAGGACTGTGAATTAAGGATGAAGAGTGTTACATGTAAAGTGAGAGGTTCATAGGACTGCTATTTTCTCCATGCACAAGCTTGTACTTTTCCACATTATGATGTCGTTCCTGAAATTGTGTGTGTGTGTAGGTACTTACATCTGGCTCGAGTCCCACACACCTCTGGAAAGCTTTGGCAGCTCCCTCATAACCCTCCAGGGCAAAGTAGGCACAACCGAGAGAAAACCACACTCCGAGCTGCCCAAACACGCACACACATACATACAACACATATGGGGTGAAAGCATACAAGTAGATCCATGTATTAGATCTATGCAGAGATATTTAGTTTTTTCATTAATCCAAAAGTTGTTTATCAGCAAAAGTAATGGATTATTTTAATCCTAATAAGACTACAGTTCTGTGAGGCTGTACTTGAGACTACTTTGATAAGATGTCAACATGCTCACAAGCTCCTCATTCAAACAGAGGAGCGTCTTGAGAGAATCAGATAGCTGTCCAATCTAAAAAAAAAAAAAAAAAAAAAAAAAAAAAAAAAAAAAAAAAAAAAAATGTGTACTGCATCCAACAAGCATTCAAGCTAATTGAAATCCAAATACTCAAATCATCTGAGAAGGTGGTAAGCAGTCTGTGGAAATAGCATCTTTAAGGTCTGTCCCTGTGATAATGGAACCTCAGGTTACACTGAATTTATGCTGACAAAAGCAATCCTTCTCTTTTGAGCCCTTTACCCTGGAGCTTTTAGCCATTTAGCCAAGCAGCCTCAGGGGCATTACCAGTATAAGTCTGACCCCTATTTGCATGCAGAAAAAAACCAAGATGCATTGTCAGATTTGTGATTGGGCCAACATAGATGCATGTGTGTGGCTCAGTGTAAAGGTAAACTTGGAAGCATGTGAAATGTGTCCACAGAGAAGCGTAGAGTTCATCATATCTGGAATACGAGGTTTCCAGAAATAAAGGAATTATAAGTGAGTAATCATTTAATGTAGGTTGGTTTTATTCACTCAATTCCTATTCATTTTAAAGTGATACCAGAATCTCAGTACAATTTAAAGTATCTTTTACCTGCATGGTGTTGATTTTGAGCGACTGCTCAAAGCAGTCCACACACTGCTGGAACTCCTTGCTGCGGAGGTGCAGCAGGGCTTTGGAGCGCATGGCTCTGGCACTGCGTCGGCCTGACAGCTCCCACGCCCGGTCGTAGTACCGATGGTCCCTCAATATGTCTCCCAGTAGGCAGTAGAGACTGGGCTTCTCCTTCTTCTCCAACTCTCTGCGAACAATCTCCTCAGACTGAAGCCAACGGATGCGAAAGGAAACAGAAGAGAGATGGATGAGGAAGAAGACATTCATTGTAAGGGATGAAAGAAAAGATGTAAACACAAATTGTGAGGCAGTGCTGGTGATCTAGCAGCAACAGAACAAACTAAATAAAGTGAAACAGGTAATGAGTAATAAAAGAACATAAAGACAATTTTGTGTAAAACACAAGAGAGGAGATTTGGGAACAAAGTTTGTGAGAAAAACAAATTAAGGCAGGGATTATGTTACGAGTTAAGCGACTGTCACATAACCTGTGGACATTTGCACTCGTTGCACCTCACCATGCCACTACATGCTTTGGATTGCTCTTGGACGAGCTGAGGCTCACACTGTTGTGAGGGTGGAACGGATTATTTTCTCTTTTCAAATCTCTGTATCTTGATTTCGATTGTCAAGAGTGGCGGTCTAACTCCTGAAAGGAGCCTTAGTTTCACTGCATTCCTCTGCTATATCCTACTGTCAGACGGCTGACGCTGGGCCAAGAGCCTACCCCTCCTGGAAAAAACTCAGAAAAGGTGCAACAAGATACAACATTCTGGTATTAAAGATAATACACAAAGCTTGTATTACAGCGTGTACACTGAAGATAATTAACTACACGCTGCCATGTTCCTGTTGGCATAGCTGCTAAAATAAAAGTTACAGTAACAAACACCTATTAGGGCCATCACTGTTTATTTGAAATTCAAACTACCGTTCAAACAAGGAAGAAAACTCTGTATTTAATCTCTCTGAATTCAAAGTTCATCGTGTAGAGGATTTTGCACACTGGTGGCTGGTTTAATGATTTCATGTTGACAGCTTGTGAGTTCTAGCTATATCAAGTTTTTTCTAGTTTTCCTTTGTCATTTAATGGAAAAGTTCCAATTTTAATAAAGGAATTCCGTAGCAAAAAAAGCCGAACAAATAGAAAAACTAGCAAACATAAATCGATGTAGCAGAAATAAGAATTGTATTGTATTTGCAATGGTTAAGTTCTTACATGATGTCTCAGAATATTTACGAGATGCATTGCATTACTTTAAGATACTGTGTCACTATGATGGAGGAAAAGAGGAGGAGAGTCAGAGTCTAGTCCAAAAAAGAGGAGCAGCATTGGACAGAGAAAAACGCACTACAGACAGATGGATTGTCTTGTTATTTTGGATCCTGGTGACTACGTAACATGGACTATTGGCTGGGACTACCACACTACATGATTTAAGAGGGGAGAAAGAGACTTTTTTTATTAGACAAAAGCACCTGGTAATCCAATCGGAGAGACAGGTAATCCAAAATGCTGCCGCCAGATTACTCACTAGGACAAATAGACGGTCTCACATCACCCCCCCATACTCGCATTTAGGATCCACTTTAAAATTCTCACTCTCACTTAGAGAGCACTACACGGTCAGTCTCCTACATATGTGGCTGAACTACTTCACCCTTATTCACCCTCCCTCGCTCTCAGGTCAAACATGTTAAATGATCTGTCTGTCCCACGCACTCGCCTTAAGACCCGTGGTGACCAAGCTTTTGAGGCAGTAGCACCAAAGCTGTGGAATGCTCTGCCTGCACACCTACGTTTTGCTGTTTCTGTGAACTCATTCAAAAATCAGCTCAAGACACACCTGATTAGACTGGCGTTTGAGTAACGACTCATGTCCTAGGCCTGCTTTTAAACCATGTTTTAATGTTGTACTTTCTGTTTTTTGTGCGTTCTTAATGTCAATTATTGGCCCTTATATGGTCACATTGTGTTTTTTATGTTTGTAATTCTGCTCCTGTTAAGCACTTTGTGACTAATGTCTGTGAAAAGCGCTTACTTACAAAGCAGGCTGTAATTCAGTAACGGAGGCCTGACAGCCTGTAGGAGTCCCACTGAGGGTTCTGCACAGTCAGGAGGAGTTAGACATTCAGGTCAGTGATCAGGATCCACAAACCCGATGTCTGCACATCTCTAGGTCATGGAATTTAGAAAACTGTTATTTTTTCTACGTCCAACAGCAATCAATAAATAAATGCTCTGACATAAAAATAAATAATAATAATCCTGAGTCTGTGGCTGTCACAGGACCGTAATAACTTCAATCATTTCATTTGGCCGACTGAAATGATCAGACGGGCTACCTCCCTGTCTGCTAGCTGTGAGCACTAACAATAGCCATGTGCGTTGTTATGTTCATAATAAGAATTTTTCTCCAAAGTTGAAAGAGTGTGTTAGCCAAACACACGAAGCTGGTAAGCCATTTGTTGTATATGAATACTAATGCATACTAGAGGTCCTCATGGCCACATAATGCATGCATACATACTTAGCATGCTATGCATATCAATGTTAATAAAAATACAATACATAGTACATTAGTGAAACTCCCAAGTCTGCACAGTGGGGATGTGGGTAATTAGTCAGAGTTCATGGTGTCCAGTTTCATTGTCTGTTATCTAGCAAGTGCCAATAGACGAAATATGGTTTATAATAGTCATGAGAGATAGTCCAAAGATATTATGTGGGATGATCATGTGACAGGTTCACATACAACACATAAGCAAAGTGTGTTTGATTTACACTGCTCGATCCAGCAGTTTTTCCCCTCTGCAATAGAACAATACGGCAGAACAATGTCCCTCGCTGGTTCAAGATCCTCCTCATAATAATGGTAATAATCCATGGTTATCGGAGCCTTCCTGTCAACTACAACCCATCTGGCCATTCACCACTGGCCTCTCTCATTAACAAGACCTTTTCACTTTTTGTTTTTAGCAAAACTCTCTAAACTCTGCTGTATGTAAAAATCACAGGAGACTGACACTAGCCACACTCAAAGTCACCAAGATCACAATTTCATGTTTGGTGTGAACTTAAACTCTTAACCATGTCTGCATGCCTTTATACACAGGGTTGCTGCTTTTATTCATTAATTGGCTGATTAGGTATTTGCATTATCAAGCAGGTTTAACAGTGACTACCACCAAAAATGAGGCTACTGCAGAGTGTACATTTCAAACAAGATTCAGCAATCATCCCGAGCATCAAACTGGAGTTGAGTCGAAGGGACAGAATACTGCAACAGAACATCTATTGTTCCTGTTGCAGTTGTGTTTACCAGCATTAAATCTGTGCCGTGTGTTTTGACTTTGCTTATTACGGACTGAACTTATTCATATATCACGTTTCTGGTTTTGTACTACTGCTTCATCTTCTCTGCATGCGTTTCAAGTTTCAACTAGGGGTGTGTTAGTCTTGCTCAGCTGTTTTTTTGATTGTGGATAATGCCATCTTTGTACCTTTTCTGTAGTTGTACTGTTTTTGTGGGAACACTTTTGGGCCCTGACTTTTCATGAATACTAACGTTTGACTTGAAAACCATTTTATAAATCCTCCTTTACACCCCACAGCACTCAAATTGGACTCGGAGCTGATGAGGTCGGTAACAGTAAGGACTTTAACCCTGAAAGGGTATGGGTGATTTTTCAAACATTTCTACATACCTCTGGTCTTCTTTTGTAAAACGCAGATTGAGCCATGTAGTAAAATCATTTTTTTTTCTTTACATGCGCACTTGGGACATGTAACAGCTTTGCGACCATAGTTCTTTCCCATTTTTTCTTCACTGTCAAGCAGTCAACAAGTGAATAAGTAAAGAAGATGAAGATTTCTAGTGGTATCCATCTGTGTACCTGCTGCCGGATCGGCTACATCCTCCTGTCAGACCTTCGAAAGCTGCCTCGGCACTGTTCACGACGAGCTGGCGCTTAACAGCTGTGGGCTGTTATTTATTATTTTTTAAATAGTATATAAAAAAGCAACTATCGAGTAATGAAAAAGAACGGATAAGAGTATTGACAAAGAACCAAAACGACAAGTAGCATCGAGAAGAGTATTAGAATCGCTAAAATCCTAACGATACTCATCCCTACTCATGTGGTACTTTGACGCACGTGTCAAACGGTGCACCTTTAATCTGATAACAGATTAGTGGGCCGCATTGGGACCATTATGGCACATAATAGATGGTCCATTCTTCTGCACAGGCAGTGCTGTGTGAAGAGAGTGTAACATCACTCATCCCCTTTTTTTCTCCATACAGGGCTAACATGGTGTTAAATGTGGCACTGTCAGTGCTTCCCTACCTTAATCTGCATGACATATACACTATGTGGAGTGGTGTATGTTGTCTTATTGTAGACCTTAGTGTCACAGTGGGGTACAGTCTACATCAGCTTCCCCTTAACCAGATAGTGAAAGCTCTGAAAGGGCTCCCTCTGGCTCCACCTATGCCAGCTGAAGAAATGCTGGTTTAAGTAAACAGATCTATGGTTGCCCGACTTTTATACGTCACAAGTGTGGACGTAAAGCAGGCCGGCGCAGTGAACAAGGGCGTGAAAAAAAAAAAATCGATACAACTTTGCATGTGCTGAACCCCATAGAAACAGCTCTAACCCTAACACCTATACTCCTTCATACTCCACCTATAATCCTACAGTAACTTATAAAGATTGGAACCTACCAACCCCAAATTAGTCAGTACAGTAATCACAAATCACGGCCACTTTGTGGTCATTATAACATGGTTGTGCGCAGCACTAGACTGTTTTGCAGTTGAGCATCGATGGACAGATCTCCAGCATTGTTGTAGGTTGCGAGTCCCTTAATTGGTTCCGTTTCTGGAAAACCCAAAGACTTTCAGAGCATCCATCAGCTTTTCTTTTCTCCGGCCACAGCATCTGAAGGCCACGGTTTTTTGCTTGTGAGATTTTCTGGCTTCCAACCCGCTGAACTGCTGTCCACACAGACAGCATTGGTCACAGTGACCTTGACATTTGACCACTAAATTCTAATCAACTCATCCACAGGTCAAAGTGGACATTCCTCAGATATGCGTGTCTTGGGGAAAGAAATGACTAATGTTCATCGTTTGAGCTCCAGGCAGCATCAGAAGTCACTCAGCTCATAGCTGCGTTTAGTAACAAGCAGATGGGTGGACTAAACCATTTTGGGCCTTTTGTAAGGGGTGGGAGGACTTAAATTGTTCAGCCTCTCAACAGAACAAACTTTTCATTCTTGGAATTTCACTCCTGGGTGAAACTAAACTTTCCTACAGCTTCACAACGAGGTACCATTATTGTGGAGGCTGTGGTTGGTTCTGAAATGGGCATATTTCTAATTGCCAAATGTTTTATTGTTACTGCTATTGTTAATGCAATCCTGCTGATATGGGGGATGTGCTCACATCAGTGAAGCCATACACAGGAACAGCTAGAACATAAATTGGTTTGGTGTGTGTGTGTGTGTGCGCGTACCTTGCCATGTTGGCCCAGCCTCTCATAGCAGATAACTACATCTTCCCAGAGCTCTAACTTTTCATAAATGAGCAGAGACGAACTGGTGCAGCCGAGGTCCGTCAGCAGGCTGGCCAGCTGTTTCTGTAGAGCAGGAGAGAACAAGACTAAGAGGCTATGCAGTGTTGTCAACATGCTAACAAGCGCACAGTAAAAATGCTAACATACTGATGTTTAGCAGATATTTTGTTTACCTGGTTCACCATCTTAGTGCGCGTTAGTTAGCATGCGTGTTAAGAATACAGCTTATAATGATGGAAATCATCAGTTTGCAGGTATCTGGTCATAAGTCATTGTTCACCAAATACTGTGATTGTCTGAACCAAATTTCATGGCAATCCTTCCAATAATTGTTCAGATATTAATGCTGGTGGCGCTAGAAGAAAAGTCAGGGATCATCAAACCGAGTAGGATACATTATTCAATAACAATGAAAGTCTATACAAAATGTCATGACAATCCATCCAAAATGTGTTGCGATATTACAGTCTGGACCAACCTCGGCTTCCCTGAAGCCACATCACTAGTGTCTAAAAGTAACGACTATGAAACAATGAGCTGTACTGTAGGTTTGAATGTTGTTTTTCACCTGGTCAGCAGTGATGTAACATATACTGTGTGATGTGTAGTTATAGGCCGGAAATGTTCAAAACCAACAGTAGTACGTAACATGTATAAATGCCTTCACTCTAAAGGCATTCAAATGAAATATTTTTTAATAAAAACAAAGAATCGTGCACGCAGAGAAAGAACAGAACCCCAGCCCCAACCATAAATAGGCCTCCAGTGCTTTGTCACATGCAGGCCATGGTTCTCCAGTGTGGAGAAAATGCATCACAGCACCTGCTGCAATCATCCGACTCAACCCGCTCTCAAGTCCTCAGGTGGCAATAGAGACTCTTCAATTCTAGCTTTATTGTTGTTATCAGTTATTACATGCTGTCTGGGTGATGTCGCCTCCCCCACTGATCTCTCCCTCTCTTCAACACTCCTTCAACCTTGTGGACAAGGCGACCGTGGCTCACTGGGTTAAGAGGGTTGTCTGGGAACCGGAAGGTCAACGATTCAATCCTCGACTGGGACGTGTCACGTGTCGAAGTGTACCTCAGCAATACACTGAACCCCAGGCTCCCCGGGTGCCTGTCATTGGCAGCCCACTGCTCCCTATATACATGGATGGGTCAAATGCAGAGACAAATTTCCCCCTTAAAGGGATCAATATAGTAAAATAAATTAAAAAATTTTTTTTTTAAATTTCTATTACTGCTTATTCTACTTACTGTTCTGTCCATTTTATTCTGCCTCCTATCCTGGGTGGTGTTAAGAGTGTCTAATGTTTGCCTTCAAAGATGTTATTAGCATTTTGGTTCAGCAAATGTGTCACACAGTGTCAGTGGAGTTTGTCTACAGCTCCTGTGGTACCATTATACGTCTCACACACTCTGATTTGTCACCTTTTGCACAACTAAAAACTGAAAATGAACATTTACTAACTGAAAGCAAGTCCCGGAACAGCTAATGAACCTGGCTTACTTTGGGGATTCTCTGACATTTTAGTTTTTTAATGAAATGGCTCAGATGGTTTGCCATGAAATTTAATTCAGGTATTCAATGTCCCAAGAGGATGAATCTTGTGACTTTTCTCTTGCTCGAATCACCCAATCACTTTTGCTCTGGTGACACCAGCAGGTCAAAGTTTTCACTTATCCAGTGAATTTCTCAACATCTGCAAGAGGGATTGATTCAAAGTTTGTATCGACATGCATGGTTCCCAAATGATGTATCCTAATGACATTGTTGATCACCTGACTATTCATCTAATGCAACCGTGACATTTGACATTTCAGGTTGTTGGTGTTTTGCAATAGAATTTGGTCCAGACTCACGTCAGTCAGTCAGTCCAATACTTGTTTATGATCAAACACTTACTCAGCTAGTGACATTCCCATCAGCCCCAACACTATTTTGTTTAGTGCCAATTTGCTAAAATTAGCATGCTAACATACTTAACTAAAACCATGGTAACCACATATCTTGAACATGAGCATGTTAACGTTGACAAAACAGGCTGCCAATGTTTGCATTTAGCTTAGCTGCACCCCCTCTTCACAGAAAAGTTAATAGAGTCTTACTCATTTCGGGAATTTTCTCTTGGTTTATAAAAATGAAAAACATTCAAATTTGGAATGTGTTTTTGAAAATAAAGTGTTTCCTACCTGGACATCCCATCTTGGGGGGGCTTGGCAGGAGTAGAACCCCTTGAGCCGCTCGGTTACGGGACAGTTCTTGTCTTCAAAGTGGTCTACTATCGCCTGGAAGAGGAAAACAGAAGATGACATTCGGTCTGTTATCCATTTGTCAACTTGCCAAACAGATAACAGACCGATCTACAGGCCAGCGCGAAACATGAGAACACCAGGACACACATGGAGAACTCTGTCAAGCTACATATTAGACAAAGTGAACATCTTTTCTTCTACATAGTTGTCCTCAGTCTCATCTGCTTAACTTGGTCATGGAGGCACCAACATGTAATTGAGATGGTAAATTAACTATAGTGAATATTATTATATGATATATATATTATTATATTATACTGAATTCCCTGTGATGGTGACAAAAATAAGATGATGTGTACAATAGTCTGTCCAGCAGGGAATATCAGGAAATTCTGGAGACAAGTGTCAAGTCTTTACACTAATAACAGTCCTGCGTTAAAACAATGCAAGGGGCTGTGGTGGTGAAGGTGTGTTGCCCCAGGTACAGGTAAGGCATTAAATGAAATCTGAATGAAAGATCCATACGTTTGAAGGCTGATCAGATAAAAGTTTCATGTATATTTTTACATTTAACAAATCGCAATGCAATACATATATATTTTCTGCTGCTAAAGAGACTAGAAGGATGGAATGCGTTTCATTTGTTGAACCTTCGATTCAATTTATTGGAGCTTCTATAGGAAAAGCACTCCAACTACATAAAGTACTTCTAAATTACAGTAAGTGCTCCCAATTTTTTTCTCAGAACATAGCCTCAGGATTGAAACGGTTGTGTTACAAATAGAAGAACAAGCCATGTTATATTTATTTAGTTCAGCGTGAGCAGAGTAACCATCATCTTCCAACTGGGGGTTTGAGTCTCAGAACTTCTTCACCAGCTTTTCATAATCCCATAACGACGTCTTTCACGGCTGTTATTGATCAACATTCAAAATGTATATTTGGAGCTTTTTGTGCTTAGGGTTGTTTTGAAAGAGAGAACAAGGTTACTCAATAACTCACAGGCGCCGTGAGCCAGGTCGAGCTCGATTTGTCTGCAGTTCAATGTTTTCCTCACTGAGCCGAGTGTCATAGGCTCAAGTTTTAATGGACACTCGATGAGATTTAGCAAAATATGTGTCTCAGTCACTTTGTAGCTTAGCTAGATTTACGTTTCACTGAGCAGCAAACAAAGTAGAACTAGCTAGCTAACGTACAACAATTAGTGTCGTTACTGTCAAATAAAGGCAAAATACCAACACAAAAATATTTTAAAACACACAAAACTGAGTTGAACACAGAGAGTTGTTGCAAGTTATGCACGAATAAGCTTCTTCCTGAGGGCTGGCAAACACAAATACTTAATGAGACACAGATCCGTTCCAGCCAATATATAATTGCCTTGACCTGTAATCTCTATGTCCAGTAAAAATAACCGGACAGTGGGAGCAGCATATAAAGTCTCTATAATAATGTTTTCACTGGCTGGTTCACAGTAGCTGTCCGACCATAACGGTTATATAGTTAGAACATATAGCATCTCTGGTTTTACTGCTTTTTTGTTTGTACCATTGCACCTGGTGAGAAGCAACTCAAAACCTGATTCCAACATGAAGGTTCCAATTTTCTGGGCACATAGAGAAAATAATTCTCTGTGAGGGAGGCCCATGCAGGTCAAAGCCCTGTCTGTAATTTGTCTACCTTTACATTTCCATGAGTGGTTAAGTTGAACTGCTTTTATAGAAAAACACTTTAATTCTTCATTAGAAAAGGCAGACTGTGAATCCTAATATGTAAATAATGTTTCCAGTACTAAAGAAAAATAGAAATACAATCCCCCATCAAATCTCCTTACCTGGGTTTGCATCATGGCTCTCTCGACACATCGGGAATTCCCCTTTTCCAGTTTGGTCCTGAGGCAAAGTGCTGTGACTTCTACAGCCCAGAACTTCGGCTGACTGAGGATACACTGCAGACAGACGAGGGAGGGACAAAGTGTAGGATAGTCTTTTAGACGGCATGAGGACATTCAAAATAAATCACAATCTAGAACTACACTCCAATTCTGATGATTTAACAAAGTCAAGGTTTGTTTGTTCAGACGGGCTGTACCAAATGTATTCTTTTATATATATTTGAAGCTTCTGAGGTTTTAGAATGAAGCTTCAAATGTCTGTTTTCCCAGTGGTGGGCCGTCAGTGCCAGCTAAGCCTTCTCTGCTGGCCTAAACAGAATCACAAAGTTATAACTATTTTATAATTTAATAACTTTTTTCCCCATTATCTTATTTTTTCATTGCACAGCTCCTGTCTTCCTCTGTTGCTCTGCTTCCAGCACAGCTTGTTTCAAGGAGAGATTCAGCCCGGTGCTGCGCTAACGCCGGCCGGTGCTTCTTTCGGCGGTCGGTGTTACGACAATGCCGGCCGGTGGTTCTTTCGTCGGGGCGGTGCTTCGCTAACGCCGGCCGGTGTTTCTTTCGCCGGCCGGTGTTACGTCAACGCCGGCCGGCCTCGTACCAAACTGTTTAATACATGTATTATTACACCAACAAATAACCGTAACTCAGTAAGACAGCCCAGAAGGCCCAGGTATAAAATGCACGGCCCACCACTGCTGTTTTCATATTTTAGACTTCATCACCCTAAAAAACTAAAACGCGAACAAAATCCTCAATTTCGGACACAATGAGTTAGTATATTTTTTATTAAATCAATACTCTTTAATGAATAAGACTCAGTTGATTGCTTCTAGACCGCCGCCCATTCACACAGCTGCATGTCACTTTGCATTTTTTTTTTTTAAATAGCTATTTAGGTAGAGTCAATGCAACTTACCACTTAGTGACAATGTTTCATTTTAAACCAGTAAAGTGAGGGTTAATGCACTTTGAGCTGTTCGAAGATGTTTAATGGGAGGAAATGGTTGAGTTTTATTGACAGAAGCAAGACTTAACTAGAAATAAACCTTAATCGGCAAAAGTATTTTGGTGGGAGCTTTGTTCATCTCATTTAAACTTGTGTTCTGCCTGATGCTGTGTTTGGCTCCACTGATGCTCCACTTCATTTCTCTTGTGCTGCCTCACAATATCTACGTGGATCAGGGTTCATTTACTGTCATTCTACAACACAGGGTTGACCAACCAAATGCAGTTGCAGTTTGTTTAAGATAAACAAGAAAAAAAAAGAAAAAGAATTGTGAACAGGAGTCTTCTCTTGCTCTTTTGTTTCCACAAGTTAATCCAAGACAAGCAATCATTCACTGCTTGATCTGGTATCCGTATACTTAATCATTCTCCCTTTTTGACGTTTTGCTCATCTATCATTCGACAGTGGTTAGAGTGATGACATATTGTCAAGATACTGTCATAGAAACAAGTTCCATGCAGAGCAGGAGCACTTCTTTAAAGCAGCGCAGGGAAACGCACTCTAATGCATTTTCATTTACAGCGTAGCGGTTTACTGCATACTCTATTAGTGACAGCCAGGCTTATAAACTAACTAAGTGCCATCATTATCTTGCTAGTTCACATTACTGCATGAGCAGAGAATCAAAAAATGTACAACCTTAACTTCCATAGCAATAAACAATGTGGCTTAGCATCATCTCTCATCCCTCTTTAGCTGTAAAAGGGAGAAGCTGTACAGATCTTGAATAAAATGATGATACATAAGACCTAACTTCCCCGTTATTCTCCTTCCCCTTATCTAAAAGGGACACAGGGCCCAGGTGTGTGCTGTGCTCTGTAGTCATTACAAGTCAACCATCCATCTTCAGTCAGAAAACATAACTATTGAATCATGTAACAGCCAGAAAGTCCTCATCTGTGTGCAGTGGTGATGATCTGCTGTAATATAGCTGAGAGAGCTCAGTGATACAGGTTCAGATGAGCTGATTAAAGGGAACAGGGGCATCCAGCTGATATACTGGCAGCCATGACTAGCATTTTGTATGAGATCAGGTTTTTGGCTCGATTTATTCAGAACAATTCATACAACAATCAACAACAACCCCCTATCGCTCAGACGATGGATACGCCTCTGGGGGCAAGTAGCTATGTTTCTGGGGTTCCAGTGAGGCCAGCAGATATCTGGGCCAACACTTCCCTCCATGTGCCGCTCATTGTTTACAGTCTGTTTAGCAAGTTGAGATTCGAGACACTGTGTAAAACCAGATTGTTTCACAAGTAGCCAGCTAACAAGCTCATTTTAAACAAATGACCTTCACCATCATTATGGATTCTGAGATTACATTTCAGCAAATACGTTCGACCTCGTTTGTTCTTAATACGGACAGTTTACCTGCATTCAACAAGACTCCTTCAACCAAAACACTTCGGATGCCAAAATCTTGTCCCGTTTGCTGCAGAACCTGTTAATAGTTTCTACTTACACTATGTTGATCACAATGGAAATATACAGGTGCTGGTCATATAATTAGATCATCATCAAAAAGTTGATTTATTTCACTAATTCCATTCAAAAAGTGAAACTTGTCTATTATATTCATTCATTACACACAGACTGATATATTTCAAATGTTTATTTCTTTTAATTTTGATGATTATAACTGACAACTAAGGAAAATCCCAAATTCAGTATCTCAGAAAATTAGAATATTGTGAAAAGGTTCAATATTTAAGACACCTGGTGCCACACTCTAATCAGCTAATTAACTCAAAACACCTGCAAAGGCCTTTAAATGGTCTCTCAGTCTAGTGCTGTAGGCTACACAATCATGGGGAAGACTGCTGACTTGACAGTTGTCCAAAAGACGACCATTGACACCTTGCACAAGGAGGGCAAGATACAAAAGGTCATTGCAAAAGAGGCTGGCTGTTCACAGAGCTCTGTGTCCAAGCACATTAATAGAGAGGCGAAGGGAAGGAAAAGATGTGGTAGAAAAAAGTGTACAAGCAATAGGGATAACCGCACCCTGGAGAGGATTGTGAAACAAAACCCATTCAAAAATGTGGGGGAGATTCAGAAAGAGTGGACTGCAGCTGGAGTCAGTGCTTCAAGAACCACTACGCACAGACGTATGCAAGACATGGGTTTCAGCTGTCGCATTCCTTGTGTCAAGCCACTCTTGAACAACAGACAGCGTCAGAAGCATCTCGCCTGGGCTAAAGACAAAAAGGACTGGACTGCTGCTGAGTGGTCCAAAGTTATGTTCTCTGATGAAAGTAAATTTTACATTTCCTTTGGAAATCAGGGTCCCAGAGTCTGGAGGAAGAGAGGAGAGACACACAATCCACGTTGCTTGAGGTCCAGTGTGAAGTTTCCACAGTCAGTGATGGTTTGGGGTGCCATGTCATCTGCTGGTGTTGGTCCACTGTGTTTTCTGAGGTCCAAGGTCAACGCAGCCGTATACCAGGAAGTTTTAGAGCACTTCATGCTTCCTGCTGCTGACCAACTTTATGGAGATGCAGATTTTATTTTCCAACAGGACTTGGCACCTGCACACAGTGCCAAAGCAACCAGTACCTGGTTTAAGGACCATGGTATCCCTGTTCGTAATTGGCCAGCAAACTCGCCTGACCTTAACCCCATAGAAAATCTATGGGGTATTGTGAAGAGGATGATGCGAAATGCCAGACCCAACAATGCAGAAGAGCTGAAGGCCACTATCAGAGCAACCTGGGCTCTCATAACACCTGAGCAGTGCCACAGACTGATCGACTCCATGCCACGCCGCATTGCTGCAGTAATTCAGGTAAAAGGAGCCCCAACTAAGTATTGAGTGCTGTACATGCTCATACTTTTCATGTTCATACTTTTCAGTTGGCCAAGATTTCTGAAAATCCTTTCTTTGTCTTGGTCTTAAGTTTTTTGAGATACTGAATTTGGGATTTTCCTTAGTTGTCAGTTATAATCATCAAAATTAAAAGAAATAAACATTTGAAATATATCAGTCTGTGTGTAATGAATGAATATAACAGACAAGTTTCACTTTTTGAATGGAAGTAGCGAAATAAATCAACTTTTTGATGATATTCTAATTATAAGACCAGCACCTGTACAATGAATGTGATACATGGTTTGAGGCAAGATGAAAACACACTAATGTTTGTGGATGCTCAGCGAGTCTTGCTGGACTCCTAGTGCAACAGTAAATTGTCCTAATTAGACAGTTCTACTTCTAGCAACATCAATCACTGAGCAATTAAAATCCAATAATAAGGCATGTTCAGCATTTGTCATGTCATTAACACAAACGAGCACTCAGCAAATCTCAGAAGCAATGATAGGACATTATTTAAAGTAGTGTGATAGTAACTCCAGCGTAAAATGATTATTAATATTTCTAATATTAGGGCTGATTATTTTCTATTGTATTTTAAAGTAGACTGGACAATTAGTTTTTTTAGAATAATTATAAAACACAAAAGTGTCCACGTTGCAGTTTTAATGTCTTATGTCTCAAACTTAATGCTCTTTATCTTAGATAGAGAGCATTCTGAATCTACTGCATCCAATGGCGATGATAGTGTTGACTAGTGACGACCTGCACAGAGCTTGACTGCTGCTCCCCCTCTCTCGGTTCTCACTGCCTCCATCTCCGCTCATACACACAGATAGCACTTAACATGTTCTGACTATATCCCTTTATGACGGTCCATTTTTGAACAATTCCCCTCAAAATCGGAGTCGGATTCAGAGTTTTGCATCGATGTTGCTGTGTCTAAGACTCTTGTAATGATTTTGCCAGGTAACGGCCAATCTTTACAACCCTAAGAAAACAATGGCATGGATGGATATCATAGCTGCCCTTGATAATATTATGGTATACCTAAAACTGAAGAGTTTGAGTTTCGCCGATGGTGAATTAATAGCAATAGAAAAAAAACAATGTGGAAACCAATTTAAAAAGGTGAATAACAGTATTTATGAGAAAAAAAAATTGGAATGACGTGTATGACATGACCGTGTTGTACCAATAGTGTCAGTGTTGGAAATGTACATTATGCTG